AATATGCACATTTACAGAACGTTTTGTGACCAGGAAGTGCGTGACTGCACCATGAAAACTATTTTTCCCATTCCCTCAAACACTTTTCCCAAACAACCAATCAAAACAGTTTCTCTCTACAAGGCTTGTAAACAGAGAGCTGCCGGGCCTCAAAGTTTGGAGACGGGGGGAGCCAGGAAGCACTTTATAAAGAGAGTCAAACCATTACAAACTCATACAAGGAGATAAAACAGACATTTTACATGGTGAAATCTGAGTGATGAAAACTTAGGAGCTTAATCCCACGCCAGTTTGACCATGAATAACGTTGGGTGACGAGTCTGACTTTTTTTTCACATTGGACTCCACCGGGAGGAAATCCCATCATACTGCTGCTTAAATGTTCACTACGTCAGAACTTATTCAGAAAATGTGTTTCCATCTCTGCTTTTGGGCATTAACTCTTACAGGATGGAGGAAATTGGTCTTGGTGGAGGTTTGCATGCCAATATAAATGGATCATCTTTCATAGTAGGCTATTAATGAAATGACAATGTGTGTTGTGTGTGGGGAAACAGATTTTTACTGTGTTCCTGAACGTAGCATAACTGACTCCTTCCACAGTTGAGGTACAGGGGGACCGGAGCGCTCCTGTCCCCCTGTACCTCAGCTCAACTTTTGAAAGTTAAGTGTCAAAAAAAGAAAATGAAGCTTTTTCGACAAATAACTCCAGCTGTCGCCTGGGAGTTATAGCTGCAGCACATAAAGCTAAGAAACAGCTACTTTGTGCCTAACGTAGGCTTAGCAACGTCATTCATTCTATTAAAATCAAAATAAATTAGTTTAATTCAGACTTGTTCAAATAAATAAACAGTCTGCACGGAAATGACAACAATAATTAGCTATGTGGTGGATGTGACATAATTGTCGTGTGGGCACGCGTTACTCATTGCATGGGCATGTGGAAAAAAAAGTTTTATTCCATGTCATGACTCCGTACTAAAGTGTACTTCCTTAGATTAAATCACAAATGTGACTCTGCCAGTGATAAAAGTGAGCCAAGGCAGGTATGATGTGGGCAGACCTGGACAAAAATAAAAAAAAGTAAACAACCAAAAATAAAATTCATCAAGTTGTGCATTTGAACATAGGCCGTGATTTAAACAAAACTGTGTTTAAAATGTACCTGCATGACTTGCTGATCACCTGGCAACAAACACTCAGAACGAACTGAGACTGGAGCCTTTTTTTAATCACCTACAGTAAATTTTGAGTCGTTGACTTGTTTCCAACAGTTCCAGCCCAGAGAGCATCTATAGATTTGTCCTGTTTGAGATGATCTATAAGGAAAAATAAAACATTTTTTCTTTTATAACTTTAACCTAATAAGAGCAAAACTATTTCTAAGTTTAAAATAATCAACTGTTGTATGCAGTAGTTAAAAATTATACTTTATATTTCTGATCTAAGATTTTAAGATAAAGTAGATTTTGTTCTTTGAGTAATAATCTGAGACAAGCAGCCGATTTTAAGTTATGTACCGAAACTATTCACTTTGAGAATATGTTAGAAAAATGTATGTTGTGTAGCATCTTGTGTCCTCTATCCATCATCATGTGAATGAATACAAAGAGTTTAGGGGAGAAATATATAATGACTTTATAATAACTTTATTGGAACCTACTCACCTGGTAAATACCCAGTATCTGTCTAAGTAGAGAAGTAGGAGAGGTTCAGTACAGATGTGTTGCACAATCACAACTTGTTTGGTCAAAGCTTAAATGACAAACAGTTTTACAGTTTCTTTACAGAAACGATTCCCCTCTGTACACAAACTGGTCTTCAGTAGAGTGGAAACAGAATAAACTTGTCCCATTTCAGGTCAGTCAGGATTACCAAAAATTTCTTCTATTTGCTAAATGCCAGAGTAAGGAGGGAGAGAATTTTTAAGGCAATTTTTATTACTTTCTGCAAAGTTTAAAGTTTAAGTCAAAAGTTTAAATACACTAAGATTACTGCACACCTGTGGATGTAATTTAAGGCACACCTGAAACACATTGCTTCCTTGTGTAACGTCATGGGAAAGTCGAAAAAAATCAGCCAACATATCAGGAAGAGAAGTGTGGATCTGCACAAGTCTGGTTCATCCTTGGCCACAATTTTCAGATGCCTGAATGTGCTCATTCATCTGTACAAACAATTATACACAAGTACAAATAGGATGGGAATGTCCAGCCATCATAACGCTCAGGAAGAAGACAGGTTCTGTGTAGCAGAGATGAACGTGCTTTAGTCCAAAATGTGCAAATCAACCCAAGAACAAAAACAAAAAACCTGGTGAAGATTCTGACTGAAGCTGTTGAGTGTGTCATTATGAAACATAAAGACAGATTAATGTTTGAAAATACACACAGGGATGAAGACCTTCATTTCTGGAGACGTCTGTGGTCTGATGAAACTAAAACTGAACTGTTTGGACATGATGACCAT